CCAAAAAACTTAAGTCAATCCTTCAAAGATCTATCAGTGAATAATATTATTAGAAGTAAGGGACATTTTGACATTTAATATATTGCTTCACTAACCTCAAAAGGCAAAGTTAAAATGTTACGGATGTTGAAATTATTAAATGTAATTTCACTGTAAGTCCTCTAAGCAAAATAGAAAAGATGATTTACAAAATTGTAGATATTAGTAGATCACAGAATTAATTTCCCATTTGTATTATAATTCCACTTAAGAAAAGTTTTGTTTTTCTTGATTCTTTTCTCTAAAACAGACATTCTGGCATTTAGGAGATAGAAATGTATCATTTGACCTTTTAAACTTCTGTTTCATTACTGTAACCACAAGCAACAGAGTCACTGACTGACATGTTTGCACTTTCAGGCCTTTAGCACTTAAAGTTATTTGATAACTGCTATGCCACTATTTACTTTTTATTAGAGACACTTTAAGGAATGTGTTACATTGAAAAAAGAGTATACTGGGTAAAATTAAATAAATAATATGTATCCAGTGTTGTGTTCACTTGAGCATTTGATTTCTGTACTTTGATGGAAGGGAATGTATGTTTGAGGGTGGATTTTGTTTTGTTTTGTTTTCTAATGAATTATAGTATAACATTAAATATAACAGTAAGCATTCAAGGTAAAAGCATAAAATATAATTTTGTGACATTACTTTGGATGAACAATATATCACCTGACTTATACCAAATCGACTAGTCCTTAAGTTCTCTTTACTTTGGTCGCTGAACAGAGCAAATACTAGTTGTAGGAGAGAAGTCAAGAAAAATAACTAACACCATTTAACATTTTGATTTAGCAGAAAATTTCTTGCAAATACATATGTGAAAATAGTTTAAGACCTATGAACAATGTAAAAAGGTCAAAAATGGGCTAATCCTTAGAAAACTATAGTTCTACAAGAAGCAAATTACTTTCGTAAAAAGTAATGTAGATCAGATTTCTGTTCCATGTAAGAAAAATGATACTGTTTATTAAAAAAAAACTGTAATTGGTTAGAAACATCATTTAGAAGGGATAGAGATTCTATTCTCTCTACCACACTTAAAAATGAAAAGTTCCCCAAAATAACATATCATAAGCCTCAACCTACAGCACACAAACGGATGAAGTACAGGGCTGCACCAAACCAACAATACTGGAAAGATATAGCCCCCCCACCCCCCACCCCCAAGTTAGAGAGGCTTCACTACTGGAAGCAATAAGTGACCTAAAACATAGGTCTCCTAGAAGCAGAACATGGACCCAGTTATTTTCATTAGCCATAGTGTTTACTAGATTGTGGGTTAGAAACAAATGCCAAGATAGATCAGAAAAAGACAAGCAGTCTATCAAACCCTTTAGGTTGAAGATATTTAACGCTCATTATAAATCAGCAATATGCTGCTGCAAACATATAGATTGCAGCTCCCATGATATATGTTTGCAGTTTCTGAAGCAGTGTTTTCTCTTTACCGATGTTTTTCAAACTTCCAAAACAAACTTAATATAAACAACATAGGTTTAATTATATTCTCTATGTGACAGAGTCCATCACTTTTATAAACAATGAAATGCTCTATCACTAAGCTATACCAAAGTATTTTGCTTTTGTATAACTCAGAGGCATTTTGTATTTACAACAAAGATAACAACATATATTATACAAGCATGTTACTATATACTAGAAACTATGACTATACCCTTCAGTATTTGGACTGGTAAGCATGTTTCAGAAGGTATAAATCATATACCACACCCATATCCAAGGCAATTAATTTTAAAATATATTGCATGATTCAGATAGAAACATATCCCACTTTCTCTCACCTTAAACTTGCCATGTATACTGATTTTGTGCAAACCACACTTATAAGCCAACTACCACCCAGTGGAGAAAAAGGAGATCTTTCATGGAGACTTGAGGTGTATGTCAGGTGGGGGTGTCAGGGGGATAAAGGAAGGTGCTGGGGAATGAAGGAATAGGGGTATTTAGCCTTGTTTAGATCTAGCACTGCTGATCATAAATTTATATTTTCACAGAATATAAAATGTTTCCAGAAGCTCACTCTGCAGTTTTGCTTGAGGGTAAAAATCAGGCTATTAGATGTTCATGAATGACAAAATATTTTCATGCACAAGCTTCAAGAAAAGAAGAAGGAAGAGTGAGAAAAACAAGTAAAACTGAAGGTGGAGGAGGGAGGGAGAAGTTGGGGGGGCGGGAAGAGAGACAGAGAATGACCATATGTAGACATGTGTGAGTGACAGTGTGTAGAGCAGTGAAGGAGAGTGTGCCTTTTAAACAGTAAGAGAATCTGCATATGAAAGTGGTTGTTAGAGCATGGAAGTGCCTGCGTGAGGATGTGAAATACACAGTATGTGAGGGAGTGTGTTTAAGATAAAAGAGGTTTGTGAGGTTGAGAAAATGGTACTGGATGGGGTTAGAGGCAACATGCATGTGTTTGCTACAGGCAGGGGTGGGAAAGGATGTGGGGAGAGGGAGGGGGAATGTGAGTCCAAAAAAAAAAGGGGGACACATAATAGGGACGTTAATGAAGAAGAAAAAAAATAGGCTCTGGTGAAAGATGAAGAGTAGAGGAAAGGGGATTGAATAAGAAGATCAGAGATGAAAGTCGTGGCAATAAAAGAAGAGGAGATGGAAAAGGGAGGGAAGAATAGAAAACAGAAAAGGTACAGAAAGGGCCAATGGAGGGAAAAGAAAGGAAGCGCAAAAATGGAAAAACAGAAAGAGGAGGGTGAAAAAGACACGAAGCATTAAGAGAAAAGAAAGCAAGCGAGAGAGGGACAATTTGAGCCTGAGCGTCCGAGTGAGAGGGAAATAAATGTGAGCAGGGAGCCAGCAGTTTGCAAAAGTGCTTCGGCTAGAGTAAAATAGAAACAACCCCGATAAACTTGTCAGACTCTCCATGAGCACCCCCTGACAGTAAAACAAGAGACCTTGTGAATTGAGTTTCAAAGTGGCACCTGCCCCTCCTAAACCTCACACTTCACTTATCCCCGGGCCACTTGGCTTTCGGGGCAAAGTGCTTTAGCATCATGAGTCCAGCTCGCTACCTGCCCGGGCGCACAGGGCGCAGGGCTCGGGGGGCAGAGTCGGCACCTGCAATTCTGGAGCTGCGGTCTGTCCACGGCGACCACCACCGGCATTACCATCGCTTTAAAGAGAAGGAAAGAGACAGAAAGAGACCTAGACAAGTACGAAAAGCACGCCGATCTTCCTACCTAAGCACCGCCGTGTCCCCTTTTCTGACCATCATGTTGTCCACGGCCGCCCAGGGGAAGTCCACACTCTGTCCAGCCGGGAGGCAGGAGGGTAGCAGGCAGCACAGGCTGAGGAGCACCGCCGCCAGCCACTGGTTCGAGCAACAAGCACCCTGCACCAACAGCATCATGTCCATCCCTGCTAGGGCTGCTCACTCTCCAGCAGCTTTCAGCTCGCGCTCCCCCACCCCCTGGTGCTGGCGAGGCTTCCCGGGAACCAGGCGGCGCGCCACAGGATTTTTTTTTTTTTTTTTTTTTTTTTTTTGGTGGGTGGGTGGGTTTCTTTTCTTCCTCTCTATTTTTTTCCCCCTCTCTCTCTCACTCTAGTAGTTAGATGTTGTTTCTCTCTCTCTCTCTCTTGCTTCCCCTCCTCCTCCTCCTGGCTTTCCCTCCCTCCCTCCCCTCCCACCCCCTGGCTCCACGCTACACCTCCTCTCGGTTGCTTTTGGCCGCGTCCGGAGTGTGTCTAATGCTCGGCGGCTCGCACACCATCTAGCGAGGAGGCGAGCGCGCCGGCTAGTGAGGGAGGAGGCGCGGCCGCGGCGGAGGCTGGGCGAGCGGCGGCGGCTGCACAAGCAGCGCGGGGCGCAGCGGCGGCCGGCGGCCCCCGGGCTCGCGCGCGTTGCCAAGCGGCCGTTTCCTTAGCAACCCCGCCCGGGGACTGGGGATGCAGCAGGGAGAGGTGGGGGGAGTGATCAGGGGGGAAAAAAAAGAAAGAAAAGAAAGAAAACGGGGAAGAAAAAAAAAAAAAAAAGTCGGAGGAGGTAGATCCCAAGCCTGCCCGCTGAGGCGAAAAGGGAGCCGCGCCGCACACAGGACGCTCCCCTTCCTGTCAACTGCACTGAGTGATGCTTTGCTAGAAAAGTCTCCGGGTCTGGGCTGGGCCGGAGAGACCAGGGGGGCGCTTTGCGTTCCCTCCCGGTGCGTTTTACCTCTTGAGGCACCGTAAGTTTAAAGTCCGCCAAGTTGTGGTCGGCGCCATCATGACGCCGGGGACGGAGAGGCTGTGTTGTTTATTTTCCCCAGTCTCGCCAGGGCGGTCGCGCCACAGTTGACAAACGACCCACTAGTTCTCTCACTACCCCTTTGCGGAAATAGGTAGGGACGGCGGCGGGGGCCGCGCGGAGGGGACCCGCGGGGAGCTGGCGAGGCCTCGCGTGAGGGGAGACAGCGGGTCAGTCAAGTCAGGCGTCAGGCAGTGTGGACCGGAGGGCCCCCTCCCCCCTCGCCCGCGCTTGTGGGCGCTAAGTGGGGTGTGTGTGGTCGGTTCAAGTGGTGTGGCTGCGCGCGCGCACGTGTGTGTATGTATGTGTGTGTGTGGGTGTGTGGTGGGCGCGCACAAGTGTGTGCGCGCGTGTGGTGCGCGCCGGGCCTGTGCGCGCGCCACACGCAGGCGCGCTGGGAGGGACAGGGCGGGTCGCGCCGGGCTGCGGAGCGGGGAAGAGACTGCAATCAAGTGTTTTAATTGTGTAGACCCTGGCAGTCCCGTTATGTAAGAAGCAGTTTAACCCGTTTGAACCTATCAGGCGCGGTGCTCAGCGCCTCTGAATTCCAGGCAGGGCTGAGGTACCCAGTTTGACAAGTCACGGGGTGGTTGGTTATTTTTTTAATGCCCCCCCCCACCCCCTAAACCAGGCTGGACAGGCTAGGCTGGCTTCTCCGTGGCGCAGGGCTGCTCCCCACACGCCGCAGCCCCTCGGTGGCTCGTCAGGCGTCCTGGACACGCCGTCCGGGTCTGTGGCGGAGAGCGGTGCTGGGCGAGGGGCTAGCCACGACCCTTTTTGGTTTCTCGCCTTCTTGAACTCGTTTCCACATTCGAGAATCTTTAGCTATTCCGGGCCATTTGCAGATCAATGCGAGCACCGAGGCTGGAGTCGATAGCAGTTACGCCAGTCAATCTTGTTCGGTGAGGAGTTTGGGAAGCCGAGCGGGGAAGTGAAGGAGAGATACAAGTAATTAAAAAAAAAAAAATCTCTCTCCACCATCACCGCCCCCCTCTTCCCTTTGGCATCCCTACCCCCTTAAGTAGTCTTATGGCACATTTTATTCGTCCGACCCCAGTACGTTCCTTGGAGGAAATAAATAAAGCGCAAAACCCTCGCACATCCCTAACGCGCTTTCCATAATGCTACCAGGGTCCTTTGGCAAAGCGCACAGAAGCAATAATCTCTGCAGGGGTCAGCATCCGGCTGCCTCCCCAGACTGAGCTCTTTACGAGGCAGGCAGGGAGTCGTTTTTTGCTTGGCGGTAGCGGTGCTCGCAGTGATTTTTATCGCAGTGCATGAGGAAATATGAGGGGAAAGGGAAGGGTTCCCATCACCTGTGACCACCCAGGCTGACTGATAGAAGAGCCCTAACCAGCGTCATCTCCCTGCTGAACTGACACTTCAAGGCTCAGCAATTAACCGAAACGTTTTCTGCAGGAGTTACTGATGTTATTAGTATTCAAGCTTAAGTCTCATCCTCTTCGGAAATTGAGAGTGCAATGGTATTCAACTGCATTTTGAAACATCAATAAAATGTTAGTCATTTGCGGATGAATGAAAACATTTTCTTTACCGTCTGGTATGCTAGGGAAATAATTGTCAAATGACAGATTCTTGCTAATATTGATGCCAAATACCTAGATAACACTGTCATCTTGTTAACTGCGTTTTTTTTTTTTTTTTTCCTCGTGTGGTACACTGAGGGATAAAGCTTCAGATTATCTAGGGCAAATGGGGTTTAGCAGAAAACGACATACACATACATGGGGGAAACTATGCAGTGTTATTTAGTATTTCTCTAGAAATGATCTAGATTTTGTTGAAGAGAAGCAGAAGGCACAGTTTCCCGCATTGTGACTCAGTTTAATGCTATTTTAGGGATGGGGTGCTAGCGTTTTCTAGTACACACTATGAAAAGCATCCTTTTATAACAGTTGTTTCCCAGAGATCTGGACATCTTGGGGGTGGCGGGGGGAGAGGATGAGAGGCGGGTTGTAACCAGGGATGGAGCTATGCAGCAGTTTTAATATGTACAACGTCCCTTCAGGCTCATAAAAGGAAACTGGAAACACTTCTATTTAAAGGCAAAGAATTTATTTTCTTTATTTCTAGTTTCTATCTCAGCTCTCATTCACTGATCACAAGACACTTAACTCTCACAAAACCCACCCAAAAGAAGCAACTGAACAATCAAAGCAATAAATTCACAGATTATTGTAGAGATTATTTATATTGCCATTAGTATTATTTAACGTGAGTACAAGAATGAGCAGTGCGGCAGCCTCTATGATTACTACATGTACTTTTGCTGCCCTGGTTAGAAAGAAAAATTATTGTAAAAGCTTTTCTGACTTTTCCCCCCTCAACCTTTCAGAGGATAAACAACTGACAAGATTTTACAGTGTTTCCAGTATTTGCTTTTTCAGTACTAGATTTCCTCCAACCAGAGTCTCAGCTCCTAGTTGGGAGTCTTGACTGTTTCTGAGGGAAAACCAGAGCAAAAACAAATAACAACAAAATGAAAGAAAGAAAACCTCCGAGGTCAAATGGCATAGATTTTTTGTATTGTTTTAAGTCTCCAGAGTAGGTAAGAGCATTGTTGGAACTTTTTAGATCATAAGAGTCGCAGAGAGTGTGGTGGGTTACTTACTTGGCTAGGACTAACATTGGAGTGAATTATTTCCTTTTATATCTTGGACCTTTATTTTGCTTTTAAAGCTCAATTTACAGTTATTGAAAAAAATGTGTTGACTCTATGGAGTTTGGAAAGAGAAAGGTGGAAATTTGAGGGTGATGGCTGATTATGCCATGCTAGATTAGTTTACATGCTTGTTTTTCATGTCTTGTGGCCTCAGTAGTGTTGGAAGAGTAACATTACAAGGACATTTATTAAGCTCCCTTAGTTTAATAAACTTGATATTTGTTTGACAGTGTATATGAGATTGTTATTACGAACTAAATTAGAATATATATTTACATGTATTCTGATACAAAATTAATGCAGATCTTTCATGCTATAATTGTCTAAATACAAGCAATTGTAGGCAACACAAGTACAGAGACCTACTGAAAAGAGCTGATGATATTATTTTGTAATTCCTGAAGGATTTGGTCAGGGTGCCCTTCTATACAGGGCATGAAAAATAACTCTCTAACTTGTGCCAAAATTGATTCTCTATTTGGAGGAAGCTGGTTGAAGCCTTCACCACCTTGTGAACTTAAACTGACCTGAAGTGATGAATTGTAGGTAAGCATGACAACTACTAAGTTTTGTAAATTTGTTTGGGGCAGGAAAATCTTCCTTTTTAGAAAGGTATCTCAACCTAGGCAGTTTTGACAGTTTGGGCCAGGTAATTCTTTGTTTTAGGGACTACACTGTGCATTGGATAATGTTTAGCAACATCCCATCAAATAGGCCTCTATTCAATAGATAACAAATAATACCAGTGGGTAGCAGTAGTTGTGATAACCAAAATTTCTTCAGACATTACTAAATGTCCTTTGGATTAGAGGAGGAGGGACAAAAATCACCCTGGTTGAAAACCACTCTATTATAGGTTACATTTCTTAAAAAAATATCATCTTATGCTTTTCAAATAAAATAATAAAGTAGATTTGTGGTCAAAAGAAAAGTACAGGCATACCTTGTTTTATTGCTCTTTGTTTTATTGAACTTTGCAGATATTGAATTCTTTACAAGACCTTCCACCAGCAAAAAAAAAAAAAAAAAAAGAATCACTATCTGAAGTCTCAGATGACAGAATTTTTTAGCAATCAAGTATTTTTGAATTATTGTATATACCTTTGTGTGTGTGTGTGGTTTTTTTAGACATACTACACACTTAATAGACAATAGTATTGTGTAAATATGCTATGTGCACTGGAAAACCAAAAAAAAAAAAAATTTGTGACAATTTTTTTTTGCTGTGTTTGCCTTATCATGGTTGTCTGGAACCAACCTTCCTATCTCTCAGGGGTGCCTATATTTTATTTGAACTTTATAGCTACCAAAGTAGCACCTGCTTCTTACCAATTCACTCTCACCTTTGTGACCAAATGGCCCAGATAGGCAAGGATGTAATTAATTTAATGGCTGACCATAAATATTTATATATGTTTTCTCCCTGAGAGTGCTTTTATTAAAACTAGAGTTGAACTTATAGTTCTCATTTTTAAAATAAATTCATCACTTTGTGTTTGTTTAAATAAAGTATTATTTATAACTAAGATATATTTATATATATTTAACAAGTAGGTGGTTAATTTCTTTGACACAACTAACAAATCTTTATAAAGTTATAGCTACAGAGTATAGTGCTCAGGAAATAGCTACTACATAAATGAGAGGAAAAACCAAGTCATTTCCCTTTTGAATACATAAAAATACATCTATTCATTTACTATTTTTATCACATTTTCTATTGTCATTGACCTAAATAAAGAGGTTAACTAAGGAAAACAGAATTACCCGAAATTGTGTTTATTTGGGGATAGCAGAGGAGTTGCATTTGTGGTAAAGCATGCTGCCACAAGTTACAGGTACCTCCTTTGAGGGTTTTGGGTGAGGGGATATGTCTATGGACAAGGAGGGCAAAGGTGGGGGAGGGAGCCCTGTTGCAATCCAGGCAGTAAGTTTATTGACTTGAGGATGGGGAGAGATTCTTGGTGGATATTCTTTGGTCAGGAGATAAGTTCTGATTTTTGGTTAATCAAGCATTTATGGGAAATCATTTTGTCCATTCTTAAGTTCAGTTTTAGGCACACATGTGGAGATTCTTTATTTCATATTCTGCATTTTAGATTTAAATATTTTCACACTATTTTAAATACTAGTTCTAATAATAAGCAAAGTATGGGAGCCTCCCTGGTGGTGCAAGGGGTTAAGATGCAGCACTATGAAGCTGTCTGCAGCCTTTGCGGTGTAAGTTCGATCCCCGGCCAGGGAGGTGACCCACATGGTGCAGCAGACCTCTCCTGACTTGCCCGCTGCTCCCCTCAGCAGTGTATTTCGGTGGATCCTCCTGTACTGTTCCCCACTCTGTCTCCGGTGAATCCTCTCACCCCCCCACCCCCGCATCTCTGGCTTATACCCCAGTTCTTATATGCATAAATAAATAAATCTTTATAAAAATAGTAAGCAAAGTGTCAATAGTAAAAAGGGATGGAGGTAGGGCAAGGAGGTGGGAAGGGAATGATATTGAAAATCTACAACAAGCTCATGGAACTCAACAAAATCAAAATAACCCAATCAAAAAAATGGGCAGAAGAGCTAAATAGGCACTTCTCCAAAGAAGATGAGCAGATGGCCAACAGGCACATGAAAAAATGTTCAAAATCACTGATCATCAGGGAAATGCAAATCAATATCACAATGAGATACCACCTCACACCTGTGAGAATGGCCCCTATCAAAGAATGCAGAAACAACAGGTACTGGCCAAAAAGTACTGGTGGGAATGCTAACTGGTCCAGCCCCTATGGAAAGAAGTGTAAGATTCCTGAAGAGACTAAAAATGGATCTACCATAAGACCCAGCAATTTCACTCATGGATATCTACCTAAAGAACACAAAAACATGAATTTGAAATGAACCCTGAGTTCCTACATTTATAGCAGCACTATAGCCAAGATATGGAAACAATCTAAATGCCCCAGGACAGATGAGTGGATCAAGAAGATGTGGTATGTATTTATATAAAGTGGAATATTACTCAATGGTACAAAGGATAAACTCATGTATTTGTGGTAACATGGATGGAACTGGAAGAGATTATCTTAAGTAAAATGAGCAAGAAGGAGTATGATAAATACTGGATAGCTTCACTTATATGTGGAATATAGAGAAACCAAACAAAATACAGACAAAGACACATTTTAAAAGTGACATTTAGAGCTGAGACATCCAGAAGGGAAAGGGAAAGTAGAGGGAGAAGAAAATACAGGGGTATGTACAGGAGGAAGAAAGGCCAGTAGACTATGGTAGAGGACTGCTGGTGCTTTGGTGGTGGGAATACTATAGTGACCACACTTGAGGGGAGAAATTGTATATTGTGAAAATGTAGGGATAACTACTTTCAGTGTCTTTCAAATCATTCTTGTAGAATCTGGGTGGAAATTACATTTGAAGTACTGAAATCTGTATTCTTTTCACTTGTAATTAATACAGCTTTAACTGTATATCACTATAAATTTGCATGATGTCTAGAAAAACAAATAAACACACTTATGATTTATTTAAGATATTTTCTTAGCAACTTCCAAAAGCATTCAAGTGCATCTATTTAAAATTAAATGCCAAATTTATTTTTTTCCCCTTTGCAATATCAGGTATGTTAAAATTTGTATTTTCAAATTTGTATTCTATTTTTTTACTTGGTTAATTTGTATTTTATAAAATTTCTGATTCTGATTGCAGAGGTGTTTATCTGGTATCTGTAGTTTGAAAGACTTTGTTTTCAGAGTAGTTTTAGTTTTACCAAAGAAAAGATGAGTGAAAGATAGAGATTTTCTTTATATATACTCTTCCTCTACACATACTTAATACCCCTGCTTATCAACAGTACTTACTAGAATCACTTTTTTTTTAAAACCATGAACCTACACAGACATGTCATAATTGCCCAAGTCCATAGTTTATGTTAGGGTTGACTCTGAAAGTGTTACATTCTGTGGATTTGGACAAATATATAACGACACAGCCATGATTATAGAGTATTGTCACTGCCATAATAATCCTCTGTACTTTGCCTATTCATCTCTTTTCTGTAATTCCTAATCTTGTATTTTCTCCATATTGTTGCCTTTTCCATAATATTATTTACTTGGACACATGGAGTATATAGCCTTTTCAAATTGGCTTCTCTCATTTAGTAATATGGATTTAAGTTTCCTTCATGCTTTGCAGGGCTTGATAGTTCATCTGTCTTTTTTTTTTTTTTTTTTTATAGAGGCATGTTTTATTTATTTTGTTTGTTTGTTTGTTTGTTTTTTTTGTTTATACATGCACTGGGTACAGTCAGAAGCACGGGAGGGTGAGAGAATTCACCAGAGCCAGAGCGGGGAGCAGAGCAGGCAGAAGGACCGAAGTACACTGCTGAGGGGAGCAGCGGGTGGCAGGAGAGGTCTGCGCACCATGTGGGATCCTCCGCCGGTGGCCGGGGAGCAGCCGGGGATCGAACCGGCGCCGCAGAGGCCGCGGGCAGCTTCGCAACCCAGCGCTCAACCACTGCGCCACCGGGGAGGCCCGATAGTTCATCTGTCTTTAGCACTGAATTATATTCCATTGTCTGGATGTGCCAGTTTCTTTATCCATTCACCTACTAGGAAACATCTTGCTAGTAACCATTATATGATATCAGAATTATATGAAAGTTCTTCTTGCTCCACATCCTCATTTGGTTTTGTCAGTGTTTGAGTTTTGGCTGTTCTAATAGATGTGTAATAGTATTTCATTTTTATGTACATTTCCATGCTAACATACATTGTGGAACAACTTTTCATATGCTTAGCTCCATCTGGATATCTTCTTTGATAAGGGGTCTGTTAAGAAATATGGCTCATTTTTAATCAGCTTATTTGTTTTCTTATTGTTGAGTTTTAAGAGTTCATATATATGTTGAGTTTTAAGAGTTCATATATATATTATATATGAGAGGCATTTCATTGCATTTACTTACAACACAATCTTGACTGGAATTGGGCATTTTTAGTTTTGAGGAATTTGTTTTGATAATATAGTTTTCATAATAGTGGTATGAAAATACAGCTTTAAGATATAATATTAAGCAGAAATAAAACATCTATTGCCATTTCCTTCCATAACCACTTTTAGCAGCTGTTGAGATTTTTTTGTTCTTGCAGTAAGTTATGATATTCAAAGTGTAGTAAATCATTGTTTATGCCTAAGATTAGAAAAAAAAAAAAACAGCCAAGTTTGAAGTGGAAAAACTTTAAAGGATTATATAAAATACATTTCCAAATTTATAGTAGTTACCCATACTCACGATATTTTTCATTTTTGTTCTGACAACACACTTTTAACAACACAATTTCAGAAAAGTGCATAAAATATAAAGGAACAATTTAGGGAGGTATCATTTTAAAGTCAACATCTATTTAATTTCACCCAGATGAAAAAAAAAAAAAAACAAAAACAAAGCAAAACATTCCCAGTAACTTAGAAACTCCATAGAATCCCTATCCTAATTACAGCGACCATTTTCTCCCCTAAAAGCAACCACTCTGTCCACACTTTCTATTTTAACATATTTTTAAAAGATTTATTTTATTTTATTTATACAAGAACCAGGGTACAGGCCAGATGTGTGGGAGGGTGAGAGGATTCACCAGAGTCAGAGCAGGGAACAGAACAGGCAGACTGACCAAAATACACTGTTGAGGGGAGCAGTGGGCAAGACAGGAGAGGTCTGCAGCGCCATGTGTGTTGCTCTGCCGCCGGCAGGGATATAACCGGCACTGCAGAGGCTGTGGACAGCTTCACAGCCCTGCGCTCATCTGCTGTGCCACCAGGGAGGCCCTATTTTAACATTTTATCACTTAGTTTTTGCATTCCTCCAAAATAATAATTTGTTTTTCTATGAAGTCTTACAAAGTCATATTAATCATATAATATATAATAAATTATACATTTTACCTTATGTCTGGACTATTTTGCTGAACATCATATTTTTTTAATACTTTTTTTTAAGATTTATTTATTTATTTATTTATTTATTTATTTATTTATTTATATTTATTTATTTATACAAGCACTGGGTACAGTCAGAAGCACGGCAGGGCGAGAGAATTCACCAGAGCCAGAGCAGGGAGGAGAACAGGCAGAAGGACCGAAGTACACTGAGGGAAGCAGCGGGCGGCAGGAGAGGTCTGTGTGCCATGTGGGACCCTCCTCTGGTGGCCGGGGAGCAGCCGGGGATAGAACCGGCGCTGAAGAGGCTGCGGGCAGCTTCTCAACCCAGCGCTCAACCGCTGCGCCACCGGGGAGGTCCTGAACATCATATCTTAACTGATATATTTAGATATTTTACAGTTAATTATTCATAAATCCATAATTTTTTTACTTTTTTTGTTTTCTGTTTCTTTTGATTTTAATTTCTCTGTATTTTTTCTGCTTTCCACTGAGTTGACACTTTTTAAATCACATCTTGATTTTTACTATATTTCACTGTAGGTATTTTTATTGATTATTCTAAGTATTACATTATATATACCAAACTTGTCACAGTCTACAATTATTCACATCTTGCCATTATGCGTTAAGTGTTGAATTCTTACCTCCATTTTCAATGTTTTTAATTGCCTCAAGTATTCCTTTTACATATCTTCAAACAATATTAAATGATACTGTGTTTTGTTTTAACCATTAAAGTAACTTACAAATCTCAAGACAAGAAGGAAAGTTTATTGTACTTACCCATATACATAATATGTAGGTTGACATTTCCTATTAGCAGTGAATTATCTTAGTTTTTCTTTGTCTGAAAATGCCTTGATTTTCTCTTTATTCTTGAGATGTACTTTTGCTGGACATATAACTCTGAGTTGACAGTTGTTTGCTGGAATCCATGCTTTTTTCTGGAATCCATGGCTTCTGATGAGTTGCATGCTTTCATTCAAATTGTTTTCTGACTATAGATACCTCCTCCATCCCACAAGCACATGCCCCATGCCCTCCCTTCTCCCATGCTCTCCACCATCACCAGCTTACCCTGAATTGCAATATGACTGTGTGTGATTGATAATGGTTCATGCATATGCAAGGCAGTTTCACAAGCATGGATGCCCTTTGGGTATCTTCCCTTCCGTCATGGGGGTGCTCCCAACACCAGGGCTTAATGGTAGGCATCAGCCAGATATACTCCTGTGTGGACAGTGAGTTCCATTGCATGAGAGTCATCCTGTTCCAAGGTATTGACCCATTGGAAAGACATGGAGAATTTATGGCATCACATCTACAACACTTTTCATGTGATTCCTGAAGAGCTTCCAGTGATGCTGACCAAGCTCTCCCTCAACTCCAAAGCCAACTGTGAGAAATGACTGTTACTAACAATAAAAAGGATCGCTAGCCCTGTGCACAGGTGTTTAAGGGAGGCTCGATTCCACGCCAATGAAAATAGGGAAAAGGAATATTATAGACAGCACAGGCGATGCAGGATCAGAATTACAAACAATGCCCCAAACCCGGTCAGACAAATAATCATGCATACATACTGTACAGTTTCCTCAGAAATCAGCATAACGGAGGCAGCAATCAGCACTCCGGAGAACAGCACGGGAGACACATCCAAAATCCAGCAGCTGCGAGCAGCAGCAGCTAGGCGACCACTGTGTTTTTATCTCCTAAGGTCAGATATGGCCAGTATCCAAGCCCAGGGATTCATGGTGGGCTGGTCACGTTTCTGTGCACGACGTCCCAGAGTTACATAACCAGCCATATATTTTGGCTGTCCTGGACATCGGAACAGTTATATAACCAGCCATATCTTTTGGCTCCCCTTCCGGGCGCTGGCCAGGCTCCCAGACCAGGGGGGCAAAAGGTGGTCGCATGTCCTCCAATGTCCCCGGCAAAACGGCATTAACACTTCATTTTCCTACAATGACCCAGATCATGTTCAGACTTTCAGTATCATATATGTAGTTACCCAGGCTGTGCTATACTACTGGCATTAGGATAGACTCTGGTGACATTGTCATCCACACTGCCCATTTAAAAGGGATATGACCTCCTCTATACCAACTATCTGGATCTGTCTGGACAGAACTTAACAAACTACCTCTTGAAGGTCCTCAGTGAGCATTGCTTTAGTTTCACTACCCTAACTCAGTGGAAAATCATGTGTGACATCACATCAAGAAGTAGCTCTACAATCTTATCTAGGAGTTGGAACAAGAGATGGCCAATGAGTCCTCAAGTTTACCCCTGCTGAAGAGGTACAAGCTGCCTGATGATCAGGTCATCATACTTGCCTGGGCATGGAATCCTGTGGCACCCATGACAATATCTTCAACTCTATCATGCAGTATAATACTGATGGAAGGACCTCTGTGCCAACACAGTATTGTCTAGTAGGACCACCATGTATCCCAGCATTGCCAACAGGATACAGAGAGAAATCCCTGTCTCCCTGCACCATGATCAACATCATTGCTGCTCCTTAGCATGAGCTTTCTATGTGGATTGGCAGCTCCATCCTGACTACAATGTTCACTTTCCAGCAAATATGAAACAGCCAGCAGGAGCATAGGGGGTCTTATCCCTCCACTGTCCATCACCAGTACTTCTAGGTAGACCATTACTTAGTTGCGTTACACTCTTTCTTGACATAACCTGGTTTGTACAGAAATCAAGAGATGAAATGGGCATGACTATTTGTTTTTTTGTTTGTTTTTGTTTTGGCACTTGACTTAGGATTTAAAAACTGGCATGGTAAAGGTTATAGCAGTCTATTGGGGCCAACATCCTCCAACTTCTACAATGTGGAACTTTTAATAGTAATCTGAAATATCCTTGATGCATTGTTACAGGAAGTTCCTTGTCCTCCCCAAAGCCTCTTCACTTGTTCCTAAGAAGGGCCAGTCTTCACCTGAGTCCACACAGAGAAGGGTGATAGCATTGCTTTTGCATAAATTATATAGTCCAGTATTTTAAAATCTTCACCTTTATACTTGCTGTTTTGTTTAACTTTGGATGGCTAGCCATGGTGGCCCTGTTTGTCCCCCAACTTGAGATGCATGAAGGCTTTTGGTGTTCCTGAGTGATTTAGGTGTAGAGTCAGCTAGAATTTATCTGTACACTGATGTGAATCTAGTTCAATAAAGTTCTTAAAGAAAAAAAATATTTTTCTCTTAAGGTAATATTTTTCTCATGTGAAAAAATAATATATTTTTCCTGTTTTGTTTTTCAAAGTTTTACTATAATTTGGGCCTCCCCGGTGGCGCAGTGGTTGAGCACTGGGCTGCAAAGCTGCCTGCAGCCTCTGCAGCACTGGTTCCATCCATGGCCTCTCGCGAGGGTCCCACATGGCGCGCAGACCTCTCCTGCTGCACCCACTGCTCCCCTCAGCAGTGTATTTCGTCAGTCTGCCTGTTCTGCTCCCTGCTCTGGTTCTGGTGAATTCTCTCACCCTCCCATGCTTCTGACTGTACCCAGTGCTTGTATAAATCAATAATTCTTAAAAAAAAAATTACTATAATTTGTCTTCTATAAATTTCTGTGTTGAACCTGTTTGAGGTCTGCTGAGCTTCTTGAATCTGTAAGTATATATTTTATACTCAATTTGGGACATTATCAGTCATTATTTCTTCAAATACGTTTTCACTATCAACCTCTTTATCCTTTGTTTCCTAGACTCCAATGGCCCAAACATTAATTTTTTTTTTGTTGTTAATAGCCCCTTAAGTCCCTGATGATATATCTTTTCTGGCTTATTTCTGTCAGATGAAGTAATTTCTATTTTATGTTTGTATTTACTGATCTCTAAGTTTGCTCTGCCCTCTCCATTCTGCTGTTGAGCCCATTCACTGAATTTTAATTTCGATTTCAATTTTTTTCCTATTCTAAAATTTTATCTTAGTTCCTCCTTATATCTTCTATTTTTTATTGAGAGTCTTTTCTTTGTTAAGACTTTTGATTTTTCTTGTTTCCAACATTTTCTTCATTGTTTGTTGGAGCATTTTTATAACTACTTTAAAACTCTTGTCAAATAATTCTAACATCTGTGTCATCCTGGTTTGACATCTGTTGATTTCCTTTTATCATTCAAGTTAAAATTTCTCTAGTTTATGGTGATAAGTGACTTTTGATTGAAAATTGGATGTTTGGGTTTTATGTTATAAGATTCTGGAAATTATTTTAATGATACCTTTTTGTTTGGGAATGGGGTACCATCTCTTTAGTGTTAGATCACTAGAAAGCTATGTTTCCACCTGCAGAGAAGGGGATCCATATTAGTGGTGAAATAGTGTGAAAATTCAGGTTCTCTACTAGAATTCCACTTATACTTCATATGTTGGGAAGATGTGGTATGTTAATAACTTCCCTCACATGTCCTTTGCTCACACCATAGTAAAAGGGGTAGTCTGTTTATTGCTGAGTAGTGCTCAACTTAGCCTTGTTAATACCACTGAAACCCACCTTGCAGCCCCCTCCTCAATACACACATACATGGCAGAGAAGGAGTTTTGGGAAATGTAGCCTGGTGAACTTAGAAAGGAAATCTAGTTTCCTTATGGCATTTGTTGAAGGTGGGGTGGGGCTACAGTTTTTTTGGTGATATTTTGCTAGAACAGAATATGTATTGTTTGAAAGTTGTCTTGCTACATGACTCCTTTTCTTGTACTTTGATTAGACAGAGCTGACTTTTGTTTGGAGTTGTCTATACCTATTGGCATTTCTGAGTTGCCAGATTGTCTAGCATCCAATCTGGAATAATAAATGAGGTAAAATGAAAACACTGAGAACACACAGCCATGTCAAGCTTCAGTTTTTCAGGTTCCTAGTCAGTTTACCTTCTTTTCTCACTTAATATGGTAATTTTAATTTTAGTTTATATATAAATGCCATTGTTGTTTACTTAGAGGGAAGAGCAGGGAAACATACATTTAATCTATCTTCCCATATACATATGTTCTTTTTTTTTTCATTTCAAATTTATTTTTTCTAGTAAGTACAAACTAGGACTTTGTCTTTCTTGTTTAAGAACGTTACTTAAATGGAACTTGTCTGTTATCACTGTACAATATAATGTAAGTGATATCTACAAGGGCAACATAGAATTTAAGGAAAAAATCTTTAGTGTATAAATTAAGTTTTTAATCACAGAACTTTTCTGACCCAGTGACTACTTCCAAACTCAGACTGTGTTTATATAATACCACCGAAATGACCATTTCTATCAATCTTTACTTTTGTGTTTCTGTCACTATAGTTGATTGTCTATGTCAATCAGAAAAACTTTTGTGGCAGTACAAGTAAATGTGAAGATAGCTACATAAAATGGAGAGAACTCAGGATTAGAAATAAATGAAATTCAGATTTGTTATGGATTTAGCTAATTTCAAATTAGTACTTTTAAGTTAAATGATTATTTTGAGTGGAGTGAAAATAGAGGACAGGAGAACTCAATTTCTATTAAGTTTCTTCCTCTAAATCAATGGTGAAGAACCAAAGACAAATCTCTTTCCTTGTAGACTTCCAGCTCTTGCAAAGCAGAGGGTTTAGAATAATATGTAATATTTAAAATTTCTTCCAAATATATCAAATGTACTATGTATGTTTACTAGTTGAATAGTTTGAATTAAGACTACTTGACCCCAGGTCATCTTAGCCCTCTTGTGCGCTCAATGCTTACTCTCCATCTTTTAAATCTTATGGATAAAATGGGTGGACATAAGCTGTCCAGATAATTTCTATTTTATTATTATTTAAATATTATCACTAAAAAGAGTGCAAAATAAGTGACATATAAAGTGCATTTTATCATTATAGTTCAAGAGAGAAATTTATTTAAGCTATGAGAAGGGGCGTTGTACACATGGATAGGTTATGAATAATAGGCAAAGAGTCAAATCTAGATTTACCTTATTAAAAAAATTAGAATATCCCTAGTTATATAATATTGGTGGGAAAGTAAATGCTTTTATTTTATCCTGGTGCCTATTCTTTCCTGGTGTGTGCATGCATTTGCACTGGTATTGATTTAAAGAACATTTTCATGGAACTCATGTGAAGAGTTTAATAATTGAGACAAGTCTGCAGTCTACCAGATATTTGCCCACACCTCCCACAATTTCTACAGGAGGCGTGTAACTGATAAGGTCTTAGAACAAATAAAATTATGCTGTGTTTCCATAATTATAATCTAGGGGCTGCATTTACACTTATCTATTGGTTTTAATTGGATTCATAAGGTAAGATTTATCTGTGATCATTTATGGATGATCTAATTTTCCATTACCCAAAAAGCAAATCCAGATGCTATCAGGAACTCTTAATGATATTTAGTCCTAATTCTCTGTGAAAGGAGAGAAGGATATGGCCAGACAATGCAAAATTCTGTATAGTCTGATTAGCTCATTTTTTTTTTTCAAATGCTTTTACTATTGGCCATATCACCATTCAGAATCTAATTGTGGCATTCCCAAATGATCCATTTATTTATATTATTCATATATAACAAGTGTGTTACTTTTTAGTTCAGGATCATATGACTTTTGGAGACTGAAACTAAGTTTATTTCATTATGACTGATTTTTTTAATGTTCCTCACAATTTTCACTGCAGAATGGAGTCAGCATCATGGAAGTGATGGAT